GAGATAGAGAGCAAGAGAGAATACGAGGTTGGGGGAGGGTGAGGAAGGGCAGAGGCAGAGGGAGAAGCAGGCTCCCCACTGAGCAGGGAGCTCAACCGGGGGCTCGATCCCAGGACCCTGGGATCATGACCTGAGCCGAAGGCAGACGCTTAACTGACTGAGCCACCCAGGCGCCCCATGCTCTTCATATTCTTGATGAAAGACAGTCTCTCTTTTCTGAACTTGGAGCCATGAGACATGCCCTTGCATGGTAGTGGGAAGCAGGGTTCCAGTCCCACCCTCCCATTTTCCCACTGTCTGTGTGTAAATCCTCACCCTCCACAGACCTTAATTTCCCCACCTATTCAATGGGAAGATAAGGCTCTCCGTGTTGCTCCATGAAGGCAGGGATGATGTCAGGTTCATGTCAGTATCTCCAGCTTCTAAGACAGTCCAGGCACATAGTAGGCACTGAACAAAAAGTTTGCTGAGTGAAAAAAATCCATGACCATTGCTTGAGACTCTCGCAATCTCACTATAACTAGTCGGCCCACGGTCTCTGAATCTCCTTTATTGTCAACTTGATTTTAAGCTTCCTTTGTAATTGTCTCTAACATTGCTCACAAGGACTGTCTAAGCATTTGGGCAATAATCCCCAAGAGCTGCATTGGTTGCATCAGGCCCTGCAAGCTTCCAACTGCTTGGAGTTCAGACAGAGGGGTACCATGTGAGAAAGGCAGATGTCACAACTAGGTCCTGGCATGCTGTGTCATCCTGGTTTCTGGGGGTGGTCTTCCCAAGGGACCCATCAGCCTCTTTTAGCATCTTCCTCCAACAAGCACACTGTGAGGGGACCAGAACCCCCAGCCTCTGTCTAGGAGACCCTGGTATGTATCTTTAAGGAAAACAGTTCAAGCCCAGGCACAGGAAGTCATCCCCTAAAGTAATCCCTGGCCTCCAAGTTGTCTAAAGACCTGGACCATAGTCCCAGGCCTCAGTCTGCTGTCATTCACTCTGAGACCTGGGCAAGTTTGTCATGGTGCCTCTGCCCGGCTCCCCTCCCAGAGCTGGTGGAGGTGGCAGAAAGCACAGATGAGGGGTGTTCCAGTTCCTCATAGGGGCTGTGCTCCTTCTCTTTTCTGGGTAACTCCTCTGCACAGAGCCTTCCACAACCACCACCACCCCCCCACCACCACCACAGGCACGCTCTCTGAGGTCTGCCCTGACACCCTGCCTGGACTCATTCCATTGTCTCCATTAGGCCCTCCAAACACCTTGTGCGCTCCTGCCTTACAGCTTGCTGATTATTATCGCCCTTCTCACGGTCTCCACCAGCCCACTGGGTCCTGTTCACCATTTGATCCTGTGCCCACCATGCTCTTTGGCACCGAAGTAGTAAATAAGGACTGGATGAATAACCACAGTGGGTGAGTGAGTGAAGAAATGAAGAAATGTGTGGACGAATGAATTATTAACTGCTCTACAATCTTAGTTTTTTGGATAACTTAGCTCAAATTTCCCTGGAGGGTTGGTGAGGGTTTTTTTTTTTACAGCATCTGTTAAAAAAAAAAAAAAAAAAGCTCGAACTGCTTGTTGTTGCAGTTGTAAATTCCTGCCGGGTTTTCCTGGTGCGCTTCCAAAGACCGAAAACAAGTACTGACACCCCGTCCTCCAGCGCCCTCCCTGGCCCCCACCACCCTGCTACCCACTGCCCCCCTCACTCTCTGTATTTCTCTCCACATTCTCTGTCTCTCCCCGCGCTCTCTCTCTTCTCTGTCTCTCTCTCTGT